ACCTGATCCAAACCATAGTCTTTTCACTTACTCCCTATGCACCTGAAAGCTGGACAATGAATAAGGATTAGAGAAGAAGAATTGATACCCTTTAGTTGTGGACTGGAGAAGAGTACTGAATGTCCCATGGACTGACAAAAGAGCAAGCAAGTCCATATTAGGAGAAGCACAACCAGGGTGCTGCTTTATCTCACATACTTTGAGCATATTGTCAGAAGGGACCAGTACATGAAAAAGGACATCATGCTAAGAAAGGTGGAGGATCAGAAAAAGGGAGGAAGACCTACAGCAAGATAGACTGATTCAGTGACTGTACCAGTGGGCTCAAGCGTATCAGAGATCACAAGAATGGTAGAAGGTAAGGAAAGGTTCAGATGTATTGTTCACAGGCTTGTTATGAGTTGTGGACTCAGAGACATATAAGAACAACATAATCCTATTAAGATAATGCCAGTGAGAAAAAGGAGCATATTTAAGACACTGTGGAACTAGAATTGGCAAGTCATAGCAATTAATTGGTTTATTATATTCAGTTTTATTTCTCATATTCAGATAAATCACGCTAATGGACCTCAGTTGAGATTTGTCTTTGTTTCTACTCTTTCATTCATTGTTACCACGGAATGCATTGATGTGGGAAGGAGTTGCTGAAAGCTAAGGTATGATGATGAGTCATTCTGTTTTCTCTTCCATTGCAGCCTCTACCTCCAAGTGCATCTGCCTGTTGCCCTCCCAGTGCAACAAAGGTGGAAACCAATTCTACTGTGTGACAGTAGGAGGATCAACAGTTTTAAAGACCATCAACATCTGTGAAGTGGGAGCTATCAAATGTTCCAAAAGGAAGCTGAATATCCTGTATCCTGGGAGATGTTTGGACAGCCATGGTTCCTGATAAATAGATTTACTATCCAAGAAGACTCTTTACTGTCAGCCATTCCTGTTCAAACAGCACACTGGCATAATAGAGAAATTAAGGACTAAAATTATTTTGCTAATAATTTCATATACTTTTTCTCCCCTGACATCCCTGTTGAAGCCTCACATATTGAGTTCTATTGCACACTTCCCTGAGCACAGTAATTTTCACACAAGACTTTTCTTCAGGAAATTCACTTTTACCATGTTTACCTATAATAAATAAATATACAAAATGTACAGTCTGTTAAGTAGTATAAATGTTATACAAAAAAATATGAAATGAGAGAATTAAGTTCCATGTTTAACCCTCATTGTGTGCAAATAAATAATAATAGCATGCATCATTGATTCTATGATTGAATACTTGGGTAAACTAAACGGCAACTTTAAGGAAACTGACCAAAAAACTAAAGGATTGAGCCTAAGTTTAATCAAAAGAAGAGGCATGTTTGGTCAGTTTCAGGCTGCAAGTTTTGGTAAATATTCTCAATTTCTTCCTCTTTAGCTCCAGATGTAGGAGTATGTTTGAGTAATAGTTGTGTTAACAGGTCTTCCTTGTATCTGTTAGGATATTATCCTATCACTCACAATGTTTCAGGCTAGAACTTGACAGTGAAAGAACTGTCTAAAATGAATATATTTGCAATTTGCAATATATGTACAAAACCAGCCCAGAATAAGATATATGTCACAGCAAAGAGAACTAATAGGGAGAGTGGGAGGTAGAAATTTGAGTAATAATGAATGAGTATTAAAAAAAAATTAACTGGAGGAGGGGAAAGGGAGGCCAAGGGGGTAAAATGTGCAAGAATGACTGAATGAAAATCTGACTTCTTTGAAAATATTAATTAAAATCACAATTGCAATAAAATTTTATTTTAAAAAATTATGAAAAATAAATAATTTTTAAAAGAGATGAGTGGAATTGGCAGAACATACTGAGAGTTGGGACTGGAAAAATGTTCCTTATTTAGTATAAAAGGATTTATATGTTATGATACTTACATTGTTGGATTAAATTCAGTCATAATTGCTTCAAAGTATTCTATATTCTTTTAGTTATAGCATTCTTTCTTTTAAGAATGATGAGTTGATCTTTTTGCCATTCAGCTACCTTTGTTTTAAAAAAACTTTCTTGTGTGCACAAGTCTACTAAAGTTTTCTGTTGGGTTAATTTACATACCATTTAACAGATGACATTTCCATTCATATTAATATTAATAGAGCAATTTAGTGCAAGTGTTAAGAGCTCGTGGTAAAATTACCATTATGAAGCAGAGAGCAGAACTAAAATGTGTTAAGTACTTGGAATTCAAATGTAGAATTGCCAACTCAGTCCTGGAGAATGAATTCTTTATCAAAGGTAAGAGTTTTGTCTTCTTGGCAATAAGATATAACTAAGTACTCGTGTTTGCAGTTTAAGTAACTAAAAAAGGAATTCAGATCTTTTTTTAAAAAACCATCCTAATGATTCTTAGTTCCACAAATAATAAATTTTCAAAATAAATGCTTAGTTTAAATAATTTTATGAATGGACATACTAAATATCCTAAATGGACTAGAAACATACACAATCTGCACAGTTCTGTTCTTGTTGTTAAGTACTGTCAGGTATGACTCATAGAGACTTATGAACAACGGATCTGAACTCTGCCCTATCCTTTGCCATCCTTATAATCTCTAACTCACTTGAGTCCATTGCTTCAGTCACTAAGTCAATCTATCTCAATGAAGATCTTCTTCTCTTCTGCTGACGTCCCACTTTTCCAAGAATGATGTCTTTCTCAAGGAATATCCCTCTCCTAGAAACATACCCGAAGTATGTGAGGTGAAGCTTCACCATGTTTGCCTCCAAGGCGCACTCAGGCTGCATTTTCTCCAAAAGATATGTGTGGGTTGGTTTGTGGGGGTTCCCCCACCCCCGTGGCAATCCATAGGATATTCACTCTTCTCCAACACTACAACTCAAAGGCTTCAGTTTTTTATCCTTTTTATTTATTGTCTAGTTCTAAGATGTATAGCCAGTAATTGAAAAGACCATGGCCTGAATCAGGCACATCTTAGTCTTCAAATTGATGCTATTGTTCCTCAGTAATTCAGAGAAGTTCCTGTAAGTGGACTTTCACAGTGCAGTGTTAATTGTTATGTACCATAGAGTTACACTCAATGATCGGCAAATCATTCTGGAGGTGATTATCCATCTTTCTCCAGTTGGAGCAGCTGGTAGATTCAAACCACAAACCTTTCAGTAGGCATCACAGTTCCTTACCACTAGGCTATCAGACCTCCTCCCAATACAATATATCTCCTGATCTCCTGACTGTTCATACCAAGAGTATTGATTGTGGATCCAAGTATACTCAAGTCATTGACAATTTCAATCTCTTCTCCATCTGTCATGATATTGTCTGTGAGTTTAAATTTCTGTCCTCAAATGAGATGGCATTCAAATGTAACTAAAATTTTTCTTTCTAGATTATTTTCAATAAAGATTCTAGAATATTACTTTGCCCTTTTTATGTTAAAACCTTCAACTACTGCAACCAGCATTTCTATTAAGTATTGTTTTCACTATTGGGCTTCTATATTATTCCTCAAAGAGCACCCTTAAACTAAATCTAATCCACATTCCTCCCAAAACCTGATGGAAACAGGAATCTGATCGATCATGATGTCTCTGGTTGGTGTTGAGTGCTAAAGCATCCTAGAGCTTGATTCATTCTATTCAGTAAAGAAGACCAAGGAATTGATGCCTTTGAATGGTACTGTTGTAGAGTACAAATGTACCATCAACTGCCAAAAAAAACAAACAAATCTTTCTTAAAAGAAGTGCAGTCAGAGAGCTTTTAAAGACAAGAATAGTGAGTTGTTTTCTCACATATATTTGACATGTTATTAAGAAGGGCCATTTTCTAGAGAGGGACATCGTGCTTGGGGAAAAAAAAAGACTTTTTAAAAGAAGAGGAAGACTGTCAAGGAGGTGAATTGACCCACTGAGTGCAACAGTGGCCTTGAGCACAGTGGATATTGTGAAGAGAGTCAGGACTAAACCAGATTTTGATCTTGCACATAGGTTCACTATAAATAAGAATCAACTAGACAACACTTAATAACAAATGCCTGGCTGTCTCTGAAATCTCTGTCATTCTTTTGGAATACATTGTGGCTATAATCTATGAGACATAATGTTTCTAATGAAACAAATGGTCCGCTAAATTATGATTGTATACTGTTTGTGAATACAAAGCTGTTCATTACAATCTTATTTGTCTTCATGACAAGTTTGACCTGTACAGTTTTAATTCTACATGTTTGATGTCATCAGAAGTGTATGTCACGAACAAAAGAGTTCCAAGAAAGACATGGTTTATTGGAAATCATGCTCACAACTGGAAATATGTCAAATTACAACCTTATTTATAATAGTAAAAATTACAGACCTAACTGTTCAATAATAATGAACACTGGTGGCATAGAGGGCAAGGAGTTCCATTGTCAACTTACAGGCAAATGGTTTCAATCTACCAGCTACATGTAGGAGAAAAATTAACAATCTCCCATGCAATTTATAGCCTGTGGAAAAACACCTTCTAACCATGGGTCATTTCTGACTTGATGACACTTAACAACAACCATGATCATATAATGAAACATCGTGAGATCACCAGCAAATGGGTTTTCTTTAAAAAAATATTTTAATGGACTAATATAAAGGAATATAAGGCCCCAGGAATAAATGGCATACCAATTGACATATTTCATTCTAGTAGCAGTGGCAAAGTTTAGCAGAGCAGCAAGCAATAAATGCAGAAGAGGATGTGGAGAGGGGGAACTCTCATACACTGTTGGTGAGGTTGTAAAATGATAGAACCACTCTGGAAGGCAGTTTGGTGTTTCCTCAAAAATTTGAACAAAAAACTCTTTATGACCCAGCTATTCTACTACTAGGAATATACTCGAAGGAAATTAGAACTAAGACATAAACAGATAATTGTACGCTAATGTTCATAGCAGTGTTATTCATCATCGCCAGAACATGGATTAAGTCCAAGTATCCAATCACAAGTGAATGGATTGAGAAATTGTGGTACATTCACACAATGGAATACTGTGTAGCAGTCAGGAGCAACAATTTCAAAAAGTACTACATAACTGTGGAGAGAATGAAGAGCATTATGATGCATGAACTAAGACTCATAAGGACAAATAATGCACAAGACCATTATTGTAAAAAATAAAAGGATAACTAGTAAAACATGTATTGGGACACAAGAAGGGAAGGAGAGGAAAAGGGTGAAGATGGATAGGGATAAGACCACAAGGTTGTACAATTTGGTGGGTGGAGGGAGGGGGTGAAGGAAATGGGAAGGATCTGGCAGGGACCTAAAAAGACAGAGTAATGATGGCCAAGGTCCAATGGTGATTAATTTAAAAAACAAATAATAGAAATGATTGTATGAAACACAATGTGAGTGAAGATTAGTGTGAAACACAATGTATACAAAATCTGTAAGCAAACCAATAAAAAAATATTTCAAAAACTTAAGGCAGCAAAGGGGCTAGAAGACAGAATTGAAGCCTTGGATTGAGGGTATACAATCTAGAGGGTATAGTCAACACCCAGAATCAGTTGGGCAAAGCCATTTCATAAATAGTCTCAAAGAAGTGATAATTAATTTTAACTCTTGAATACTAAAGTAATTTGTTTCTCTAGCTTCAAACTTTTTAATCCATAATTTCCCTTAAATTTTTCCCATTTGTAACTGAAATTTCTGCCTTGGGCAGAATACACCCTAGCATTGTAGAAATAAGATAACTTGTATAGATTTCACAGAAAAGGAGATATTTGGCCCTAGGATGAAACACACTGTAAATTTCAGCCTTAATTGATTTAGATGATAAGAATCTGGAATTTGGGACTTAGAACTGATAGATTAAGTCTTTCAGAATGATGTTATGTGTAAGCATTTTTTT